ATCTCATCAATTAGTAACTTAAGCTCTTCATTTAATCTTCTGTGAACAGCCTTTTAAAGATATAATAAAATCTTTTTGAAATCTTTTTAGAAACTTCTGGGTGGGCCAGTTTGTGTGCCCTTATTTTTAAATGCACTTTAGCCCTTCCAAGACCCAGAGCCATTCCCAAAAACAATCAAAAGAAAGACTTAGATAATGCCTTGAGAGCTGGAACAGTTGGTCTAGTCGCAAACGGGGCGCAACCTGTCTTTCCGTCCCGCCATATCCCTGGGGTTCCCAATCTTTTGGTTGGCTACCTGCACACGCCCCCAACAGGCAGAAAGTCAAGCCAAGTTCTCAGGACAAAGAACCGGACTAACTGGAAAGCAGTGGCTGCTTGTGGGAGGGGACTAATCGGTCTTAAAGGACAGCGTTGTTCATCAGGAATGTTCTACATAATGGCCATTGTAATATGAATTATTTTTAGTAAGATTTTGCCACTTTTGTAAATATCTGCAGCTTCCATGGCCTTTATTCTTAAACATGAAACAGGCAGGCATACCAGAAGGCAGAGTACTCAGATCTTTAGAAATTAGGATCACATTCTGATGGTGGATCTTGGTTTTTTCAAAGCTAACATGGCTTTGGCTCATTTTCCAGTTTCTGTCTGATCCAGCCAGACACTTGAGGTCTCCCTTACCTAAGTGCACAAGAAAAAAAAAAAAAAAACTGCTCTTGCCGAGGCCATCAGGCCATCCTTGCCGGGTGATTGCCTGCATCACCCTGGCACTCTGCAGAGAGTTCCCACCCAAAAGACAGCCCTCACCAGATGTGCTGCCTGGACTTTGAGCTTCCCAGCCTCCAAAACTGCAAAAAATAAACCTCATTTCTTTATACATTGAAAAAAAAGAAAAGAAAAACAAAGAACCCGCATACCCGCAAATTTCAAAAGCCAGAGTTCACAGCCCCTGCAGTAACAACCACTTACTGCAGCCAATGTCAGTTACCTTCTGTTGTTGTTTTTTTTTTTTCTATTCATCAGTTACCTTTAAACGCGTCCCTTTTTACCAATGACTTGTCAGCCACAAACCCAAAGGTCATGTGCCCTGCCAGAGCACAAACCAACCCGTGGTTCCCCAAGATCAGATGCATTCTCACAATGCAAAATAACCCTTGGTACCCCACATTCATGCTCTCACAGTGCACCCAACCCTCGGTACCCCAGAGGCCAAAAAGGCAAAGAGAGAAGAGCTGAGACCTGAGGGGACCCCCTCACGACTCTCAGGGCTCCTTGAGGAAGACAGTGTTCCACCCCCTGAAGAAAAAGGGGTTAGCAGTGTCTTTTCTGCCTTCCCCAAGGGGTCTTGAAGTCATTAGCAGCCTCCTTCAGGTCCCTCAGTGGTCACTAGATCTGTCAAAGGACATTACAACAAATTTAAAGATTTCAATTGGTTTTATTGCAATTCTAGAATCAGACAACTTATTCTATAAAGTACAGTAAGTGTTCCCCCAATTACCTTTTCTTGTAAGGACATTGGATTAGAGCCCACCCTGAGGGACTTTAAAGGCCCCATATCTGAGTCACATTCTGTGGTAGTGGGGGGAACACAATTCATCCCGTACAGTCATTGACAAGTATAATTTCATTCAAATGTTACCCAATATGAGGACAGGACTGAGATGGAGGTAGAGGATCTGTCACCATCACCGTGAGAGCCTGGCCATGGAGGTGGATGCAGGAACTGATAATGTCTGGGTTTGTCACTGTTGGGGAAAAGGAGAGTAAAAGTTGGAGATGGAGGTCCATCCCCCAGCTCTAATCCTTGCTCCAACATCCTTCCTGCAGCACAGCCGACTGAGTGATCACAGAGAGGAGCTTCGTTTCTCAGCAACCTCCATTGTCTCCCCGGAGTAAGATCTGAAGACCTCAGTGTGGCCTGTGAGGCCCCACATGATCCCTGTCACCTCACTGCTGTCTCTCCTGCCACTGGCTGCCACGTGCCCTGCACAGCCATGCAGCCTCCACCCTCAAGCCTGCCCGGCGTGCTCCCACTAATCCCGCTAAGGCACTGCACTGGTGCTGGAAACACTTGCCCCCTTCCATCAGTGCAGCGTGTACTGGCATGCACCGCCAGGACCCCCGCCTGGGACAAAGCATGCACTTCCCAACACAGAGGGTGTAGATGGCTAGAAGCTCTAGGTTGAGTTCTGTGTATGAAGAGAGCTGCCTCGCCCAAGATCACAGTGACAAAGCATGCACTTCCCAACACAGAGGGTGTAGGTGGCTAGAAGCTCTAGGTTGAGTTCTGTGTATGAAGAGAGCTGCCTCGCCCAAGATCACAGTCCCTTCCTCAAGTGGCCCAGGCCCAATGACAGCCGATGGGTACAACAGCCCAGCCCCTTGTCCCACCGGGGACAACTCTGCAGGGCAATCCCAGCTCCACAGCTCCTCACGGACCTACCAGGACCATTGTTGTGACCTGTGACAGCTCACCTTCTCCCTTCACCCAACTCTGCTGCCCGCAGACCCTGATCCCAAGGGCAGACCCTGTCGACTTCCCACGCAGTGATCTCCCCCAGAGCCGGCCTCTTGGGGACTGAGCCAGAGAAAACCCATGACTTGTTCCTTCACATGCTCAGGTTCCTTCTTAAGTGTCTTCTTTCTTCTTTAATTGAGATGAGGGCTGGCCGCTTGACTCAGTTGGTTAGAGCACAGGCTCGGAACACCAAGGTCAAGAGTTTGGTTCCCCATACATGCCAGCTGCAAAAAAAACAATAAGAATGAAAGCTTTAGTTGAGATGAAATTCTCGTAACATTAGCTATCTTAAGGTCTACGATTCAGTAGCACCCGGTACATTCACAATGATGTACAACCACCGCCTCTCTCTAGTTCCAAAACATTTTCACCACCCCAAAAGGAAAGCTGTACCCATTAAGCCATGGATCCCCATTCCCCCCAGCTCCAGTCCCTGGCAATTCCCAGTTTGCATTCTGTGTCTATGGATTTACCTGTTCCAAATACTTTACATAAATGGAAATATACAAGATGTGACCTTTTGTGCCCAGCTTACGTCACTTATCATAGTGTTTTTGAGGTCCATCCATGTTGTAGCAAGTGTCAGAACTTTATTCTTTTTCATGGCTGAATAATATTCCATTGTATGGATAGACCTCAATTTACTTATGCATCAGTTGACAGATATTTTGGGTGGCTTCCACCTTTTAACCGTGATGACTAGCACTGCGATGCACATGGGTGTACAAGTTTTCTTTGAATGCCTGCTTTCAATTCTTTCGGGTATGCACGTAGGAGTCAGACGTCCTTTTACAGTGAGGCCCTCCTAAGCTGCCTAATAGGAGACACCCCCGCCCTCAGCACACCTTACCCTCCTGACTTTGCTTCATAACACGATTGGCATGTATAATATGGTCATGTATATGTTTACCTCTCTCTTTGCTTATTTTATGACTTCCCCCTGTACAAGAATATAAGCTCTTGATGATCATTAGTTTTCTTCACGGCCGTGCTGCCAGGGTTCAGAACAGTCCCTGGCTTATAATAAACGCTTGTATCAGTTGTCTATCATCACCATAGTGCTGCGTAACAAACTATCCTAAGACTTGGGGTCTTAAAACAACAGCCACTTCTGCAGATCAGGCCTTGGGCTGAGCTCAGCTGGGTGATTGTTCTGTGGGGAGCTGGTGTGGGGATGGGAAGCGAGAACAGAGGTTACTACCAAGTAAAGCAGGGTCGAGCACAGTATAGCAGACATGGAAAAGTGAGGAGGGTGGGCTGCTGCTCGCTGGCCAGGAGGAGGCCTTTGTGGGGGAGGTGGTCTGACCCTGGCTCAGGACACAGAGATGGCTGTGAGGGGACTTCAGGTGATGACATAGGTTGGGAGCCCACAAGCGCCAGCCATGTGGGGCCAGCAAGCAGCCCATGTGGCCGGATTGTAAGGTAAGAGCAAGAACAATGTTGGATGGATACAGCCAAGATGAGAAGCTGGGCCTTGAATTCCAACAAAAGAAGCTGAAACACCAGTGGGGGGAGGGGTGGTGGAAACAGCACAGGGCATGCGGTGGATCTGGGAGGTCACCCTTTCTCTGGTCACCAAAGCACATGTGTAAAGGGTCTCCAGGAATTCTCTTCCCACAAGGCCTCCAGAGGTTCCGCAAGCCCACAACAACTTTGACATGCACATCTGCACCTTGCACGTATCCCAAATAGAGCCAGCGAGTCCTGGGGATGAGGTGTGCCCAAGGTCGCATGGAGTTAGTGGTGGGTGGGGGGTCCAGCATTAGAGAGCCTCAGAGCACACTTTCGGTCCACATGGTGACTGTGTGGCTGGGGTCCTTCCAGGCACTGGGATACAATGGTGACCACGACAAAGTCCTGCTCCTGAGAAGCTCAGAGGGTGGGGGAGCCCCGAGCCCATGTACTTAAAACCAGGAGGACGTGCTCCGGCAGGTGAACACTGCATTTTGTTATTGCGATGAACAAACTGGGGGAATAAATTGGCACTTAGGCTGCTGGTGGGTCTCCTGGGATTGTTGCTGTGAACCCATTTGTGGGTGTCGGACCCCCTGGGGGTGCTGATGGAGCAGCCACTGAACCTGCAGAGCTGAGGCCTGCACCCAAACAGTCTCACCTGAGTCATGCCTGTACAGATCTTAGGGGATCTGCAGAGCCAAGGCCAAGAATTTGGGGCCAAGAAGCAAGACCGTCTGTGTCTCGACAAGCAGAAGCTGCCCTAAGCCCTAACATGCGACTCCTCACATGATCCACTTGGCATCCGGCTGGGGCTCGTGCTCCCCATTCCCTGGGCTGCACGGTTCACAGAGCCACCAGGGACACAGTCAGCACCAGCCCCTGCGTCCCCAGCCCCGCTGCAGAGGGACCAGCGCACCTGTCTTAGTGCCGGCGCTACGGAGCTTGCCCTCCCGGATGCGGAGTATGGAAGAGGGTGAAAGGAGCCCCCTGCTGTCCCAGGTAACCCAGTGCCCCAGCGGGACACGGAGTATGGAAGAGGGTGAAAGGAGCCCCCTGCTGTCCCAGGTAACCCAGTGCCCCAGCGGCCTCGCCCCTGAGGTGGGGATATTCCCCAGCCCTGAAGTCCCCTGGGATGCCCCTGGGCCGGGTTCTTGCCCACCCTGTCTCCTGCACCTCCACAGGCCTCGTGCACGGGGGCTTGGCATCAGGTGGATGCCAACAGAGGCACAGCTAAGACTGTGGTTGGGGGCTTTACTAGCCAGGCACCACCCCCCAGCTGTGGTTCTCCCATCCCAGCTCCGGCCTCTGGTCACAGGATATGGCGGGTGTCCCTAAGGATCTGGGGGGCTACCTCTGGCTCTGGGAGCAGAGGGGGTGAAAGCAAACATCCCTCAGCTGGCTGTGGATGCCTGTGGCCTCCGATAGCCCCAGTCTGGCCAACCTGGTACTAGCAACTTGTCCTTTTGCTCCTACTGAATTGTTGGGGACTGGGGGTCTGATAAATAACCCTCCTCTCCTCTGCTCTGAGTTCAGAATAAATGAGCCATCACGGCAGAGGCAGACATTGGGGGTCAAGGAACAGCTTCTTTCTGCCAAAACTGGATTGGAAGGGGATCCTTGCTGGGGCACATGGCCACAGCTTCTTCATTCTTCCCTCAAATCAAACTTTGTCACCAGCAGAACGGGGCACCTGCGGGGCTGCCTCCTCCCCAGCAGAGGGAGACCAGAAAGCTCCTCACACACCTGCTTGACCAGCTGAGTGTCCAGCCAGCGGACGAGGCAGGCCCCTTGGAAGTCCCCGCATCCCACAGATGGTCTCCCTGGTCACCCGCCGCCCTCTCCCTGCCCTGGGAGCCTGGTGGGCAGGGCTGTAGCCTGTCCATTGCTGTGTCCTCCGTGGCAGGGCCCAGCACTACATCCATGCTCAGCGGGGGCTCAGTTAGTGGGGCCGTCAGGATGGATCCCAGGGCATCGGGGCTGGTTTCAGAGGGGGAGGCAGAAAGGACGGCCATATGGGCCAGCCCCTCTGCCTGGTGGGCCTCCACCTCCTGGCCTGGGTGGGCAGCCCCTCCTGTGACCACGCAAGGTCAGTGCTGCAGGCCCTTTCAGACCGGTCCAAAAAGAGGCTGCTTCAAACTCAGGGAAGTCAGCCCTGCCTGCACGGCAGGAAAGTCAGGAGCCCTGATATGGGTGAGACCAGAGTCAGCCCATCCATCACACGGGAGGGGGAGGGGAGGCGGCACATTTATTGGGCACCGCTTTACTTGGTCTTCACCACGGACCTTGCAGGACGTGGTCACCACTCTGATCTTTTTTTTTTTTTTTTTAAAGATGACTGGTAAGGGGATCTTAACCCATGACTTGGTGTTATCAGCACCACGCTCTCCCAAGTGAGCCACCCTGCTCTAACAGAGGCTGGGGCCCACAAATCTGCAGGTGGCAGAGCTGGGACCTTCACTGTCCCTTGCCCAGCCTAGCAGGACAAGCCCGAAAGGCCCCTGGCTGTCCAGGTCTCTAAGTCTCCCCTCCGCCTCCCTCGCCCAGCTTCCTCCCACCCCTCGAGGGCTCTGCCCCATGGTTCCTCCTGACCCCTTGCTCATGAGCTTTCATCCCTTGCCCATTGTCATGGGATCTGAGTGAGTGGTCTCCCCAGCGAGGTCTCCCTGTTCGTCCCTCTGCAGGACACAGCAGGCCAGGAGCTGGCATCCTCCGTGAAGAGTCTACCCACTTCAAGCTGCCCAGGTCCAGCGCCCTGTGAGGACCAGGCGGGAGCCTGGGGCTGCAGCTGCTGTCCTCCTGGGGCCAAGTGCCAGGTCTCCAGGAGAGGCCTTGGGGGAGACCCGGCCCCCTCCCTCCCTATGGGGAGCAGCTGTGTCAAGTATCTGATCTTCCTGTCCAACACCCTCTTCTCCCTGCTGGGCCTGCTGACACTGGCCATAGGGCTCTGGGGCCTGGCTGTCAAGGGGTCTCTGGAAAGTGGTTGGGGAGGTCCCCTGCCCACAGACCCCATGCTGGGGCTGGTGCTGGGGGGGTTGGCAGTCAGTGCTGTGAGCCTGGCTGGCTGCCTGGGTGCCCTCTGCGAGAACACCTGCCTGCTGCGCTGCTTCTCCGGGGCTGTCCTTGCTTTCCTGGTGTTCGAAGCCTTGGTGGGGGCTCTGGTGGTGGCCCTCTGGGGCCCACTGCAGGACAGCCTGGAGCACACCTTACGCATGGCCATCACCCACTACCAGGAAGACCCAGACCTGCGCTTCCTCCTCGACCAAGTCCAGCTGGGGCTGCAGTGCTGCGGGGCGGCATCCTACCAGGACTGGCAGCAGAACCTGTGAGTGCCTGGCAGCTGAGGGAAGGGGGTGCCCCGGCAGCCAGCAGGTTCCCTGGGGCTGGAGGGGAGGCCAGGCCACACATACGCTCACATGTACACGCTCACATGCGTGCACACACTGCACATGCTCACGTGTGAGCACACATGCACGTGCACACACACACGTACCTCTCATGGTCATGGGTTTTACATGTGCACAGTCATGCACGTGCACTTGTGTATACACACAGACGTGCACACTCACACATGTCCTCATGTGCACACACAGAATGCAGCCTCACGCACATACACAAACATGCCCATACATGTAGTCCCGGACACTCACACACATGTGCACACACACTGAGCTGCATGGGCACTTGCCTCTCCCTGGTCCACAGGCTCAGAGCCTGAACGGGCCCCTATGGCCGACTTTCAGGCCCCAGCCTCCCTGCAGTCTCTGCCAGGGCCACAGACACAGGGACCCCAGTGTGGACACCAGCCAGCAGACTCAGAGGGCCACTTTCTCTTTCATCACACAAGACATCTCAATATCAAGTGAAAATAGCTTTTAGGGCCGACCCCGTGGTGCACTCGGGAGAGTGTGGCACTGGGAGCGCAGCAGAGCTCCCGCCGCAGGTTCGGATCCTGTCTAGGGATGGCCGGTGCACTCACTGGCTGAGCGCGGCCAGTCACAAAAAAAAAAAAAGAAAAGAAAATAGCTTTCAGGTCAATCCAGGATGCCATTCATTACAATGGTTTCCCTGTGTGCATGTGTGGGTCTGCGAGTGCATGTGCAGGTGCACGTGTGCACATGTATACACGTGTGTGCGTACCTGTGCGTGTGTGTGAGTATGTGTGCACACGTGTGAGTGCATGTGTGTGCACTTGTGCGCCTGTGCGTGAGTGTGAGTGCATGTGTGCATGTGCACGTGGGATCACACGTTGTCTGTTTGGGGACACGACACAGCATTTCTCTGTGTGCTGCTCGAGGTGACCTGCTCTGCTGTTTCCCCCAGTGCCGGTGGGGGCACAGACGCCCCAGCGGCACCTGTTCATGCGAAGCCAGGACAGATGGCGTGTGTTCCCTCCCGCCACCTTCTTGTATGTGCTTGCAGGAGCACCCAACCACAAGAGATGGAGTCAATGGAGACTCTTTAAGTACTGGCCATTTGTACCAATGGTGGCCAAAGCATGCTGGGCCCTCCCGCACACCAGGCACCCCACACAGAGTCCACAAGGCTGCTCTTGCTTGCTGGCCACATGCGGCTTTGGATGAGTGGCAGCTCCGGGAGGGCTTATGGTAGCACCTCTCCTGCCTCAGGGCAGCAAGCTCTGCTGGCAGCTGCGACAGTGCCTGGGAGGACCAGTGTGGGGGACCAGCCTGCAGGTCTGCTTGGGGGGTCCAGAAAGGCCACGTCCAGGCCCCCAAAGCCTGGGCCTGTGTGCAGGGCCCTGGATGCAATGTAAGGCTAAGGGACCGAGGGCTCCCTGAAGCAGGGGCCTGCGATGAGAGCAGCACTCCCCAGCCCCTGACAGGCTCCTCCCCAGCCCCCAGCCTCTGTCACTGCCCAGGACTGCCTCTCGCGCCCTTGTTGTTCCTCTACGACCCACAAACGTTCCAGAGCTCCCACCAGAGCTCAGTCTACCTCCTCAGCGTACACTGAGCACGGTCCTCTCACTCCCACCCCCATCAAATGCTTGTCTCCCCTTCAACCGTCTCACTGAGTATTTCCCTTCTAGCCAGCATGTCCGCTACACCTGCCCTCAGTGAAGAGGGCTGCCAGGCACAGGGATAGACAGCTGGGTACTGTGTGTGTGTATATGTACATGTATGCCTGTGTGCATATGTGCCTGTGCTGTGTGTGTGTATGTGCCTGCGTATGCCTGTGCCTGTGTGTGGCCATGGAAGTTTGAGGGTGGGTAGCAGACATTCAGCTCGGTGCGTGTGCCTGCGTGTGCCTGTGCCTGTGTGTGGCCATGGAAGTTTGAGGGTGGGTAGCAGACATTCAGCTCGGTGCCTGGTCCAGGAGGAGCAGGTCCTCCCTCCAGAGCTGACACCTGCGTGCTCCTGCAGGTACTTTAACTGCAGCTCTCCTGGTGTGCAGGCCTGCAGCCTTCCTGCTTCCTGCTGCATCAATCCCCAGGAAGACGGAGCCTCTATCAACGACCAGTGCGGCTTCGGGGTCCTGGGCCTGGACAAGGACGCAGCTCAGAGAGTGGTGTACCTGGAGGGCTGTGGGCCCCCACTCCGGCAGTGGCTGCATGGGAATCTCTCAGCCATAGGCAGCTACATGATCGTGGTTGTGGTGGTGCAGGGGGTGGAGCTCCTGCTGGCCACCCAGCTGATTAGAGCCCTTGATATCCGCAAGAGGGTGGCAGCTGTCAGGGAGGCTGGAGCTGTCCATCGGAGCCCTAGACCTGGTGCCCAGCTCTCTGCTAAACCCTCCCGGGGCTGACTGTGCTGCTTTTTCCCCAGCAGTTGGGATGAAAGGCGGGGGCCCTAGGATGCGGTCTGGGCCTCCCCTCCCAGGGACAGTGTCAGAGTCACCCACCGTGGGGTGCTCATGGACGTGACCTTCAACGCCTGGGCCTCTTCCACCTGCTGAGCCACCAGTACCCCAGAGTCCCCCTTCCCTGAGGGCATGGGCCTCCCCTCCCAGGGACAGTGTCAGAGTCACCCACCGTGGGGTGCTCATGGATGTGACCTTCGACGCCTGGGCCTCTTCCACCTGCTGAGCCACCAGTACCCCAGAGTCCCCCTTCCCTGAGGGCCAGGCCAGAATGGACTCCCTGATTTCACTCTGGTTTCCGGAGCCCTTTGCTGCCTGACTCAGCTAAGTAGTCCCCGCCCGCTTGCTCACAGACCCAGCCATGGTCTGAGTGTCTGGCCATGTGTGCCTCCCACCGAGGGTGTCAGCCTGGCAGGAAGAACAAGGAGGGGAGGGGGCTGGATGAAATCTTGGTCCGGAGCCACTACCTCTGAGTCCCACTTCCAGCACCCCCCCGCCAGGTCCCCATCTCCACACCACAGCTGGCACCTCTCTCCCCTGGGGCTGCTTCCCCCTTTCCGGTTATCACAGTGTGCTTTTGCAGGGGTAGTAAATATTAAGGTGTATCATTAATTCATACAGTAAACTGCACCCATCTTCAGTGTGAGAATTATTATTATTATTTTTTTTTTGCGACTGGCTGGTACAGGGATCAAACCGTGGACCTTGGTGTTATCAGCGCCAGCTCTAACCAACTGAGCCAGCCGGCCAGCCAGCGTGAGAATTCTCACTTATCTACACACCTGTGGACCCTCCACCAGATCAAGGCGGGGAAATCCCTAGCCCCCAGGCTCATCCCCAGGTCAGCCGGGCTCCGCCTACACCAGGGTCAGCGTGGCCTGTGTGTGACTTTCGTGTGAGTGGAACGGCAGAGGGACCTCCTGAGCGCCCTGGCTGTTGTACAAAGGCAGCACATGCTTGCGCTTGGCCCCTCTTGGGAGTGGAAGTCCCGGGCCCAGTAGGCACTGCCTAAGGATGGCTTGGCTGGGTGATCTGAGCAAGTTGCCTGGCTCTCTGTGCCTCAGTTTCCTCACCTGCAGGGTGGGGATCCAAGCTCCTGCCTTGCAGCGTGTGCTGGTGCCGGGCCTTGTCCACCCACACACCTCGCTGACCACGGCCACTGGGAGTGCGTCCAGGCCCTGCCTTGACTGGGACAGGGCCGGCTACTGAGGCCCAGTGAGGGGTGATCTCACAAGCTTTCTTCCCCTCGGCCTGGCCCGCCCCTCCTGCCCCACCCTCCCCTCCTGCCAAGGTGACACTCACAGACACGCCCCAGACAAGTGAGGGCACACTGACTTTACTTTGAGACGGGTACAGCAAGGGTGGCTGTGGTGTTAGAGAGCTGGTGTGATGAGGGTGGAGGGGCCTCCTTCTCTCACCGTACCCCAGGACAAGCCCCATGTCCCACCAAGCTCACCCATCTGGGAAGGGCTGTGGGGACACGGAGCTTCTCCTCATCCTTGATGGGCAAGATGGGGGCCTGGGGTGCGGGGGGCACTCCGGGGGCCCCCGCCCTGCCTCTCCAGCCATGAGGAGGCAGTATCTGGGATCTACTGGGCTTCCGGGCTGGGGTCTCCGCCCCCTCTCCCTGAGAGGGGAGACTCCCAGACCCACTTCAAGGGCAGACCTGAGCGGGGTGGGCCCCTGTCTCTGGAAGATAAGCAGGGCCTGGCCAGCCTGGAGAGGGGGTCCTGGGGGGAGTGGTGGGCTCTGGGTAATTGGTGTTGGGGGCCTGGGGTCACTGCCGCACCTGGTGTCCAGGTGTGACCTGCGCTAGGGGTGGGGGCTCCTTGACAGGAATCCTGAGCAGGGTTTGCAGAGGGCAGCAGGGCGAGGACCTGGTGCTAGATGATGCCGTATTGGGCCAGCTCGTGCAGCTCCAGGTGGTTGAAGGCCTCCCACGGGCAGATGACCGTGATGTCTGCGGGAAAAGGGGGCCCGTGGGTCAGGGAGGGTCCCAGGGCCGGGGATCACCCCATCCCCATGGCCATTTCCCACATCCCAAGTGAAGACCCGAGATTTGCCAAGGGTAACAGCAGGTCCTAGGTGGAGAGCCCTCCTCCCAGGACGCAGTGGCTCCGGGGAGAGCGCAGGTGCAGGCCCAGGGAGGAGATGGGGCGAGGGTGGGCCTTGCTGCGGGGGAAGCAAGGTGTCTCTTTTTCCAGACCCCTCACCCAAGCACCTGGTGAATCCACCAAATGGGAAGCACCTCGTTTCAGGGAAACTGAAGCTTGATGTTGGGGGAAGAAAGGAGGAGCAGGCTGGGGAAGGGGCAGTGCTCTAAGTGTGAACAGGGGCTGGCGGCTGTGAGGGTTGTGGGGGCTCCGGGCGTGCCTGGGGGGACGTGCGCAGACCCCTGGGTTGGTGCTAGCACAGTCTTACCCGTTCCCAGGCCTTCCATCCCAGGGATGTCGTCCCCGAACCTGCAAGGGCAGAGCAGTGAGGAGCACTGGCTCGGTCTGCCCGAGGCCCGAGGTCGGGACCCAGCCCTCCTAGGAGACCAGGCACCAGGCTGGGGGCCCAGCCAGCAGAGGATGTGGACGACAGGAACCCCCAGTCCCCATTCTCCCCTCCTGCATCCCTGCTCAGGCCCCCAGTTATGAGGATGGGAACCACCCTCAGCCAGGGAAGTGGCTGAATCCCTTCCCCAGCCCCCACCTCCCCTCTGTCCCTTCCCGCAGCTCTGCTTACCCTTGGACGCCTTTCTTGGGGGGCTTGCTCTTGAATTGCCTGGTTTGCCGCTGTTTAAATTTGGGAGGCCCTTTCCTGGGTGTGACGGGTCCTCCAATCACCCTGGTGGCTGGCCGGAACTCGGCCTTGGGTGGCTCCAGGTTCATGGCCAGGATGGCAGAGGCAGGGAGACCCTTGGCTTCCCTCACACTGTGCGCTGGGGCAAGCCAGGCCAGGGTCCCAGTCAGCCTTTCTGCTTCCAGCCCCCCATAGGGGTCTCAACCCACCAGAGCAAAGGAGCCGAGACATGAGACCCACCCTGCCATCCTTCGATGTGGTCCGGACAGCAGTCCCCAACCTGGGGGTGCTGGCCTGCCTTCTCCACTTGGGGCCCACCCAGCACTGTCATTCTCCTGTCTCCCTGGTGGACACCTCTGTCCCACCATCGGCCACACACAACTCAGGCATCTCCCTTGCAGCCCGGGCCCCCTCGTACCCACCCACACGTCCAATCCACAGCAGACCCACCCTCCCGCCCATGACATGCCCTAAACCTGGACCTCTCACCACCTCCTCTTGCAGGTGATTCTGACGACCCCATGACCCCTCTATGCCTGCGACCCCTCTCCTCCTTGCCTTGCATCCCCAACCCCACAGTAGCATGGTCAAAGTCTGAATCACTCTGCGGAAGCCCTCTGGGAGCTCCTGCTGGGACTGGAATGAGGCCCACGTGAGCCACCTTCCTGCCTTCCAGGCTCTGCAGAGAGCCTGCTGCTGGCGCTCCCTTCCTGCCCCTCAGCCTTTCAGGTCCCCTCTCGGGGAGGCCTTCCCTGACTCTGTGCCCTGGTGCCCTGATTTACTTCTTCATGTCAGATATCAGCACAAATTCCTGGCTTGTTCACGAGCGTGTGCCTATCTCTGCTCACCTTTTTGTTTGCTTGTTTCTGGCAGCTGGCCAGTGCGGGGATCCGAACCCTTGACCCTGGTGTTCTCAGCACCGCACTCTCCCAAGGGAGCCACCTGGCCAGCCCTGCTCATCTTACTTATTCCCTCGTCATTGTGTGTTTATTGCCTATCCTTCGGGCATGGGATGCTGTCAGCACCGTCCACCCATACATGGAGGCCCCCTGAGTCTCTCAGTGTGAGCCAGGCACCCAGGAGAGCAAGATGCACAGGCAGGGGCGCCCTCAGAAAGGAGCCGTCTCAGAATGGGTTGCTGTGCTGAGCTGTGTGACCCTTGCCCTCCTGACCCCATTTCACAGAGGGACAAGCTGAGGCTCAGGGAGGGAGGAGGCGGCTCTTCCCTCTGCTGGGTACATTCCCAGGCCACTCACTGTGCTTGGAGCTTGCTCTGGGCGCGGTGTGAGCTGCCCGGCTTGGTCGTGGCTGAGCTGGCCTCAGCTACACTGGAGAGCCCAGTGTCCTTGCACCTGCTGCCCAGGTGACCTCTCCTCCCCCTCTCCCCAGATGCCCTAAGCCCCAGTGACCTTGGCCAAGGGGAGCTCAGCTTCCTCTAAGCCTGTTAACACCAGAGGGAGACTCCTAATCTCCCAGGACTGGTGCAAGCCCCATGTGCTGCCAGAAGGTTCTGAAACTAAGTGTGTGACTCGGAGAAGAAACACTGCCCCCTGGCCCTGAGGATGCCCCAGGGGCCACCTCTTGGGGTCCCCTTTTCTGCCCCCTGGTCTTGGGCTGGGATGCCTGACTCCAGCCTGAGGCCACCACCAGCGGTTTGCTAGTGCATCAGGGCTAAGATGACCAGGCGGCAAGGACAGGTGGCCCCATTCCAGGGAGGAATGCGCTGTGGTTTGTGCCTGGGCACTGGGATTGGAGTGGAATCACCATGCCGCCTTCCCTCCCTAAGGTTCAGCCTCTGTCCCTGGGACCAGCACCAGCCTGGAAGGAACCGGGGTGCAGAAGCCCAGTGGTCCTGCCTGCTGAGACCCACAGCAGCCACAACTCACATCCCAGATGGTGTAGGCCCAGCCAGGCTGCTTCCTGCCAGGCCATGGGCCTGTGGCAGGCAGCCCTGGGCCCCACAGAGCTCCAATGATTGGATGCCACCCCATGAAAACTGCTGCCTGAGCTTCCCTGGCCCCTCGTGGACTGTGACTGGTGCCCACTCAAGCTGGCTGGGTGTGACCTGGGACTCCCAGATCATCACTGGCCTTGGGGCAGCAACACCACCACCATTTGGCCCAGTTTAGAGGTGATCAGCTGGGCGTCCCCTGAAGAACAGGTGGTGGGTGGACTTCCACAGACCCAGACCTCAGCTGCGGGGTGAAGGCCCTTCGCTCCCCACCCTGGGTGGATGGGCAGACGGACTCACCCACTTGGGGAGGTCACTACTCACCGAGCACTGGGCAGGCCTCAGGGAGCCATGGGTGTGAGTGGCTTGATCTCCTCAGTGGGGCACTGACCTGGGCATTTATTCTGCAGCCCGTGAGCTGCTTAGGACTCTCCTCTCTGACGCCACACTAATGAGATTGCTGGGCCCTGAGGGAGGGCACCACCGTTGGGGGTGGGGAAAGGGGGATCAGGTGCAGTCAAGGGCAGAAAGGAAGGACACCAGGCAGATGGGGTGGGGATAGGAAGGGGAGGTGTGCTCCTGAGCAGCCTGAGAGGATAGGACGGGGTGCTCCCTCCTGCAGCCACGTCTCCCAAAGGGAGTAGGAGGAAGAGGAGAGGCCCTGCCTGCTGTCCTGCACTCCCCAGCTCCTGATCTCTGAACAACCCGCCTTTGTGACTCCGAAGCCCCTGTGCAACCTGGCCCCATCCACTCCTCAGGCTTCTTTTACCTCCCCCACCCCATGTCCCCAAGCCCCTCCCACCCCAGGGCCTTTGCACCTGCTGTCCCCTGTGCGGTGCACTTCCCGTGCCTCTTCCCTTCCCCCAGCCTCAGAGCTCTGCCCAGGGTTACTTCTCAGGCAACCCCTGAGACTAAACCAGGGTGCCTATTTCATAGGACCTCCTGGCAGCCAGAACTTTCCTTCATCACACTTAACCATGTTTGCATGTTTGGATAATTCTTGTGCTAATCTGTCTCCCACACTGGAGTGGGATGGGGCAGTGGATTTCCACCAGGTCCCAGTGTCCAGGCCAGCATGGCTACTTCACAGACGCTCGACAAGTACCTGTGGAATGGAGGAACACAAGATTCGTCCCTGTGTGGTGGTGTTGGCAAGGACACTGCACTGGCTTTCTCGGCCGCCAGGTTTTACATCCAGGAGGGAGGTCTGCAAGGGGCAAGGCCAGTGGCTTCTTTTGGAGACATTTCACACTGCAAGGCCTCATTGGCCTTTGCCATGACTGTCAAATTCCAGAATAAGGCTAGTTTCATAAGAACCACTGGGTAGGATGCAAACACACATGCACACATGTATATATACACATATGCACACGTATATACATAGACGTGTCGAAAATACAGAAAAACTTTTATATATTTATATTTTCGAGAATTAGAAAACCTCTTGCTATGTCTTTCTGAGATAAATCTCCTCTATATGCTGCTGTGTGTTTGGGGAAAATCTCTTCCCATTTCTGAATCTGTGTGAGGACAGTGTTAGACTATATGTTCTGATAGTCTAGGGTCTAGTAGACACACGTCAGTACAATCATGTTTCTCCAAACCCAGCCAGAATGCTGGGTGGTTCATGATGACATGTTAGCTGTTCAAGGTGACAGCCTGAACTAACAGATATCTTGTTACCCATCAGGAAGTCACCACATCCACAGCTTTGTGGTTTTACTCGTGTCGACAGGTCTCTATGTCCATGTGAAACGCTGGCTTTACCTTAAAGGCCCTATGCCCAAAATCCCTCCATGAGTTTGCATTACAGTCCCAGTTTTCCCTTAAATAAGAGGAGATAAAATAGGTATAAATACATCTAACCCCGGCCCTGACCAGGCCTCTGGTAACTAGAGCTTGGAATTGCTCGGGAGAGAGGTGTAAGGTGGCAAACTTCCATGGAATAGGGCAACTGGGAGAAGGGGGACAGGCAGCGAGGGCCCTGAGATGCCCTACCCTGGTGCCACGGTGCCGTCACCTAGACTGGTGCAGGGTAGCTGGTCCTGGAGCTAATACTCAAGTCCTGCTGGTCCTTCCACCCCCACCTACTGCCTTGGGACCATAGCTAATCGGGTTGGAAGGGCTTGGTCCCTGAGGGCTGATCCCTGAAGGCCTCGACCGGGTGTCTCCCAAGGACCCCAGCAGGGGACTGATGGCAGCTCAACAAGGCACTTCCCAGGCTGCCTGTGGCACCCATGGCTGCCAAGGGCCTTACCACAGCAATGTTCTAAGATCAGATGGCCCTCCCCCAGCTGCACGCCCAGAGTAACCAGAGCTGACCTGTGCCAGGACTTCTGGGACACTGGGGCCTGGCATGGAAAGGGCCCAGGGGGTCACTGTCGCTTGAATATTCAAGGAAATGGGGCCTTTTTTCATCCTCCCAGGTTGCTGAAGGCCTTTGGCACTCAGCAGATGCACGATGCTAACCCGAACCCGCTTTCTTTGACGAGGCAGCACAGGCCTTACAGACAACAGTGCAAAAGGCTCCTGCTTACCACCACAGAGAATTCATTTATTCTCAGGGAAAGTCAGTAATTCCTCCTACTCTTTTGCATACACAGAGCCCATAAGGGAGTACGGGTAAAGGAGGCCGTTCCTTCCTGAGCAGAAGCTGCGGGCTGGAGCTCCTAGGGATGAGGGTGTTAAGCAGGGCTGGCTCAGCCTCCACTCCTCGTGAGGAGCTTGATCTCCATCCTGAGGAAGGCCTTCAGGTTCTCGTCCGCCACGTGCTCCTCCAAGGCAGCCAGGGCGCGCTCCCCACCATCTCGGTAGTGCTGCAGGAGGGCGTCTGCATACTCCACCCACACGCAGTTGGGGCAGCCGCTCATGCAGCAGTTCGTGGGGGGCTGGAGCTCAGGTGGCAGAGAGTATGGGGGCTCCGAGGGGTCCCTGCTGGGAACGGTGGCCTTGGGCTGCTGGGTGCTGTCTGTGCCTGCTCGGGAGCCCACCTCCTCATGGCCCGTACTGAACTCTCTGCGGCCATCACAGGCTTGAACTTGTGCATGGTGTCTGCGAAGAGCACTGCCATCTTCAGGAAGCCTCTGGCAGTAGTCCTGGCTGGACAGCCAGCGTGCCCCCTAAGGACACAGATAATCATGTGACTCTCCAGGAGACTGGTAAGGCCTTGCAGGCCCCCAGCCCTGGGGAAATTTCAGCCCTCCTGTCACTGGGCAGGTGGCTCCATGTTCTTGTCAGCTTCTTCCCTTCCCATGTGCCCTTAGACATTATTTCACCTCTCTAGACTCAGTGTTCCCATCTGTAAGATGGACATAATGGTTGGTACGAGAGGATGGCATGGTATGTCTCCTGAGAAGTGCAGGGCTCAGGGCCTGGTTCCGGTGTGCACTCCAGATGGGGGAGAGCTCGGCACCTCGGCTAAAGTGACCGCTGCTCTGTGGACAGCCCCTGGCCAGACAGCCCCCTCCCCTCCCCAACCAGTACAGCGTCTCCTCTGACGACCGTCCTGACTAGTCCGTGTTTCCCTCTGTCACAGGAGCAGCAACAGGTCTCTCAGGTGATCGCGTCCTCAGACTCGAATCCCCCAGAGGCCCTGGCGCGGCCTCGCCTCCTTCCCCCGCCCAGCCCTCGGGTCCCCTGCCCTGCTCCATTCACCCACGACCACCGGCGACACGCTACAAACTTATTTATCCAACCCCTCCCGCGAGGAGCACCAGCCCGTCCTCACTGTCGGGACCCACGGCGGGAGGAGCCGGCGCGCGGCGGGTGCGGAAAGCCCGGGGGCCCTCGGACCGCGGCTACAGACGTCCCCGGGCCCCGC